AAAAAAAAAAAAAAAAAAAAAGAAAAAGAAAAAGAAAAGAAAAGAAAGAAAGAAAGAAAAATCAAACCCCATTTAAAAGTGGGCAGAAGACATGAATAGGAACTTTTCAAAAGAAGATCTATGAAAGGCCAATAACATACATAAAACTGCTTAATGTCTCTAATCATCAGGGAAATACAAATCAAAGTAATAATTATGAGATATCACCTTACTCCAGTGAGAATGGCTTTTATCAAAAAGTCCTAAAACAACAGATGCTGGAGTGGATGTGTAGATAAAGGAACACTTACACATTGTTGGTGGGACTGCCAACTAGTCCAATCTCTAAAAGTAGACTTAGCATTTGATCAAGCAATCCCACTACTTGCTATTTAACCGAAGGAAAAAAAGTCATTTGTCAAAAAGACACTTGAACTTGAATGTTTATTACCACACAATTCACAAATAAAAAGTGGTGGAATAAACCCAAGTACCCATCAATAATTATTGATTAATAAAATGTGGTATATGTATACCATGGAGTACTAGTCAGCCATAAAAAAAATGGGGAACCAATACCTTTTGTAACAATCTGGATAGAACTGGAGAACATCCTTCTAAAGGATTGAAATAAGTGAAGTATCACAGGAAGGGAAAAACAACCCCCACATGTACTCACTATTAAATTGGAGATAATCGATCAACACTTGGGTGCACATGTGGAAATAAAACTCAATAGAAATCAAACAGGTAGGAGAGGGGAGAGGGGATTGATAAGTTCACACCTGAAGAGTACAATGCACACCATCTGGGTGATGGGCACACTTGATAACTTTGAGTCAAAACCAATTCATGTAACCAAAATGTTTGAAATAAAAAGCAAAATGAGTACTGAACACACTTACAAAGTCCTAATCAATATTAACTTGAAGATTCAGCAGCGCAGAAACATGTAGCTTACATTCCAGTGGATGTAAAATTTGGCATGTTCATGATTAGAATTTTCTATATAGCTGAATAAACTCTCATCCTTTCTAAGGCCTGTCTCCTGAATGATAAGTACAGCCATTAAACTTCTGAGTGAAGTTTTATGCACCACTTACCACGATTCTCCACTATAGTGGTCCTGAGACCACAGTGGTATGCTGAGCTTTGGCCGTAACACTGACTCTAACATAACAAATGATGCCTCTCTTACAAGACTGGATAAAATTGATCAACAACATGGATTCTGTGATAAATTATAAGATATAAACTCAAAATGAAGAGCTTACCACATGTCGCACATTTTAATATTTTTCCCTTTTGTGAACTCTCAGATGAGATTGTATTCATGAAGTATAAATGAAGACGTTATCACACACATCACATTACTAAAGTTATCTCTTCAGTGTAGACACTCTGATGAAGTTGAAGGCTACACTGAAACACATACCACACTCCCCACACTTCCACGGTTTCTCTCCTATGTGGACTCTGTGATGCATATCAAGATTCAAGAGCTGGCTGTAGCTCTTCACACAGTCCTCACGTTTCTATGGCTTTTCTACATTGTGAACTTTATCTTGGACTTTAAAGTATGAACTGTGCACATAGTCCTTCCCATAACCCTCACATTTCAGTGATGTTTCTTTGCTGTGTCGTCTCTGATGGGTTCGACAAGTTGAGGCCCAACCAAAGCCTTTCCCACATTCCTCACATTTGTATGGCTTTTCTCCAGTGTGGACTCTCTGATGGGAATGAAGTTGTGAATTCTGAGTAAATCTTTTCCCACATTCTTCACATTTGAATGGTTTTTCTCCACTATGAAGTCTCTGATGTTTCAAAAGACATGAAGCCCAAGCAAAG